GATATCAATCCGCCTAGGTATATCGGTGCCTAAGGTGCTCTGCTGTTGACGCGAAGGTTGAGGGTTTGATCCCAGCCACGGCAGTCGCATTTTGGTGGAAGTGAAATGGTCGAGGCCCATGTGCTGCGTGATGTCAGTGCTCGTTAAGAACACCAGATGGCGGACATTTCCAGATTACTTCATTAAGGCGTATTTCATAATCACACCATGGTTTTGGGACGTGAAACCCCAGATAATATTTTTTAATATTATTATCACCTGACATCAGCTGATTACCTGACAATTGCCTGTGCAACTTTTGGCTTGCGAAGCCGGATGTTACATTTATTCTAATCCTGTGGAAGTGTGAATGTCTAGCAAAAAGCCGACAAGATAATTTCATGCTACCCAAACCATTTCATTACTTTGCAACTACGCGCTCTTGCTTGCACGTTTTTTATAATGTTGCCAATGTGACTGTTGCATTACTGAACGACTGTAATGTGCCATCCTAAGCATGTATAAAGAGAGGAATTATGAATTTTTCTGCAAACGTCCTTCCCTGTCATCGGAACATACATCGTCAAGAATCATTTTTATATATTTTTTTTTTCAAATGTTCATCAGTATTGATGCCGCGAATAACTTGTAATTTATTATTTCATTCTTCTGCGTGATTACTCGGCAGCGTTTACTTGCAGCTGTCATTCGCCATTTATCAAACTTTCAGCTATCACAGCAGATAGCTGTTAAAAAAAAAGTTGTACAGTTTCTTGTCTTTTTCGCTGCACACTTTCACACATAAACGTAACTCCCCCTACAGGCTTGTACAGTTAGACGTCCTATGTCATGATTACTTTTATTTGATTTCTGCATAAGTTTGCGAAATAACCCTGCGTCATCCATAAAGCTGCTTCCTATTACTTTTTTGCCCGTTTATGGGAGGGCTAATGTATATTATTCGCATAGGCAGCGTATAAAGCAACTCTCTCGTTTACAGCGGCTTTCACGAAGTCATTTTCATTTCCTATCAAAATGGCTGACAACCCCTGATCTGACATCTGGGGTAGAGAGGAGACATTACGGCACGTCTGCGACTGTCCTCGCTACAAAGCGCAAAGAAAAATCACTTGCAGCTGCGCTAGCTCGCTCAAATCGCAGACTGGTGACGGTAGCCACCATTCTGGATTGTCGTCCAGAGAGGTCATTGTGAGCGAAGGCGACGAAAGCAGTCCTCAGCTTTTTGAAGGCAACAGACTTGGACAGGCGCTTATAGACTAATAGTGTTAGGATTACTGTGACGTGCAACTTTGAATGCGCGTGCTTTCCTCTTTCTTTCTCTCTCCGTATTTTGAACTCCTTCATCTCTGTCCCCAGTGTAGCAGTCGTTCTAGACTGGTTATCATCCCTGCCTTTTCTCCTCCCCCCCCCTCTGTTCTCTTTATCGCATGGTATCTTAGTGTGGCGTTAGCAAGAAAGCGGATAAGTCTCACACTGACAACATCTATATTTGCTTTAATATGTCACGAAAGCATGGTAACATCTCTAATTGTAAATGTAGAGACAGTGAAAATTGACGTTACTGCGCTGATGGTCTCAAAATTATGAATGATCGTCAGAGTTCTACTTACACAGATTTGTTAACATAAATGCATTCCTGTTTTTATAGAAAGTGCAAGAAGTGTGTTTAACCTTTGACGAACGAAATGTTGACTTAGATTTTTATGACGAACAAAAGCTAACGTCGTCATTTAAAGCATACCATGGATGTCTAAAGAGGTATCTGTGCTGATATACTTAACAGTCTTGAAAAAGACAATTCCACTTCTCGAAACGCCAGCTCGAGTACACAACCATTGTTTACGAATTAGTTTCGTCAACAGTAATGAAACATTTTATTTGTGTTGGTTTAGATTTAATTGTTGTTGATTCAGCACATCAATAAATTTTATATTATGTTGATTTCGATCGTAATTTACTCAAGGATATACCCAAGTGAAAAGGTTATTAAATTTTCCGTACCTTTTCCTCGAATAAAGACAATCTATACTACCTTAAAATATTGTCGGGGCTGCAGAGCTTGTTTGTGTGTTTAAGAGCGGTATCTGTTCTATCTTCGGACAGCGCTAAGCTATCTCTTGGAAACGAAACATGCAATTTACTTTTGAGTAATAGAAATTTGCAACCCAATTTTTTTCGTTGCTTCAGTAGTATGAAAAAAGTTTCCCTCATCACTGCTACCTAATTTATATAAAATATACATCATTACGTCGCACATACATACTTCTATTGAGAAGAAAAAGAGATATTGTTAAGAAATTGTGCAATAATAAATTGTCGTTAATATTTTACACTTTCAGCACTTTCGAGTACTGGAGGTAAGGTTCACTGCACCTAAAAATGCTGATGAACAGGTGTTCGATAAGCAATCTTGATAATAAAAAATAATAAGGAAATAAAATGATGAAAATCTCGAATAAAAAAACGAACGGCTAATGGCGTGCTGCTGCAGATTATGTGGCCATGAAAGAGCGTAGATTATTGCGAAATTATTCGTCGTGCTTATATAAAAAACTTGAGGCCGTGCATGTCGTACAAAATTAGGTGTAACAAGAGCATGCTGACTGAGCAATACTTTTTGGTTCCCGAAAAAACTGTCTTGGATATGCTTACATACGAACTAAAACCAGACGTACATCTGTCCTAAACAAAGTGGTTTATGCTTATAAATAATTTTGAAAAAAAGAGCAATAATTATCGACTGGTTCTAGCACATTCAAAGCGATGACTACAAATGAACTTGTAAATGGCTAGCGCCTTAAAAATAGATACGTATTGAAACTGAGAAGCTTTATGTGTACCTTTATCTGTGGTCGTTAAAACCATACATTTGCAGTAGAACAATGTGTTGAAAAAGTAATTCCGTAATCTAGCTTTTAGACCGCATATCGCTGAGACAGGGTCATTACGACGAAGACCTATGCATAATTTTCTCAATGAAGACGTTGCTTAGTCAGAATAGGAACTACTAAATAGCCGAATATTTACTTTGTAGTACTGAGACGTGGAAGTGTGCCTTTGCATTTTGAGGATGGGCCTTGGTCGAGTAAGTCATCTTTACGTCAACATAAATCTTTAAATTGTTCACGTTTTAAACACAACAGAAAAGTGTCATGTCTTGGTAAAATCGGATAGCGCATAAAGTGGTCAGTGAGTCTGTAAACATAGAAAATAATGATAGGAGCTGCGCCAATGTGTATAACTCCGGTCGCAATAGCTCAGTCTGGTTATTCAAATTATAAAGCAATGCAGCTGTGAGATGGTTCATTTCTTTTAAGCTGCATTACTTGCCTTAAGAACTTCTGATTGCCGCGCACTCAGAGGTAACAACAGTAAATTTACTTAGCGCAGAACAAGCTGTGAGGCAAAGCTTCATTGCGAAAAAAGATAAAACATGGATTTTACAACGTAGTGACAGAAGATCTAGCAAGAGTCATCGATACCGCATGATAATCAATTTGGTGAATGACGGCTCCATTGGACGCGAATTTTCCGCGAAGCCTGCTTCTGTGCTGATTATTCCACTTCGTCTAAACAAGTAAAAATTGATTGTATAGTTACATAAAATTCTAGTAGAATAACTGAGTTCTTCATCCAACCTCGCCAATATTCATTGCCCAATGCTTCAATTGGTCCTTGAAAAATGAGTAACTGATTGTGTACAATAATAAGTGTAAGTTTTAATGTATATATGTGTTTTTAAGAAAAAACCATAAGCAGCAAAATATCTACGGGGAAGTCTAAATAAGATGACTAAATTTATCTTCTGTGTTCAGTCATTAAAAAGTGTTTTTCACCCACCTGATCAGGCAGATAGCCACAATTTCTTTAAGGGGGTGGGGGTTGGGGGCACCACCTTGATTTTTGGAGGAACACCCCCTTAAGGTGGCTATTTTTTGCTTTCTATGCCTTGGCCGAAAAAATTCCGGGAGGTCATGTGCCCAATGTTCCACGCCTTGGCTACGCCCTTGTACCGGGTGTATGTATGAAGTTGAATGTCACGATTACCGAGCGCTTACTCACACAAGCAGCAGTGCCATAGCAAGCGGTATTTTCTTCTTCCACGATATATTCTCGCTCCTTTTGTATGCAGAAGGAATCTTCTCGAAATCGCAATAGGGAAAAGCAAATCGACAGTTTTTTTTTAATATTTACAGTACCGAGTCTGAATAGGTATTTCTACTGCATGCAACATATAAGGTTTTCGTTGCATTCGCGTTAACTGTATACACATGCAAAATAAATCATTGTTTTCTAAGGTGTGCAACTGGTTTTCCTTTCTTGAGCTAATGTGTACAAAGTCGCACAGTAGCAACTTACGCTTTCTTTGAATGACTATATCAATTTTTTCACTTACTATGTTCACACTATGAAGTAGTGAATATTATGAAGTATCTCCCTTATGGGAACTGAGCATGATTAGCGTTAATGCCCGAGAAGCGTGAAATAATCGAAGACCACCTCGCAAGTTAATCGGCATGAAAAAGGAATACACAAGAAAACACGCTCACACAGAGCCAGGGCTGTTTTCTGGTGTCTTTGCCTTTTGTGCTACTTAACTTGTCACACTAATTGGCCTATAGAGCAAATACCAGCTCCAATAGAGCAGGTGTGAGCGACTTCCCATATATTCTTTCACTTGCAGGCATCTAAGTTCAGAGAGCTACGCCCGAGTAAATTCTTGCAGATGTTTTTCATAAGAACACAGACACCGAAACCCTATGTCCGATGCGTTTCTCCTTCTACCTTAACCCAGAGCGCACGCCATGATTTCACTGTTCAATTATAAAATTTTCTGTGGAAGTAATGGTGCAAGGCACATCCACATCATATGTTCAAAAAAACCTTGAAGTTTATCACGTGCGAAAATTTTGTGAAGCGTGACTGTGACAGTGTTATCTAAATGAACATGTCAGTGCATGATATGCGCAGACATTCATTAGCACTTAATGATCACTCACCCAGCGGAAGCTTGTCGGGCCCAGACCTTCCGAGCCCGGCGCAGCCCCATAGAAACGTTGCAGCAATGAGAATCCACGATCCCATGTCCTTCGGCACACGACGGCCTAGAAGAAATGGCCGATGTCCTCGACAGTGACCGTGAGGCCTGTTACGGGTGGCGACTCCAGGCGTGGCGCGATCGCGTCACCTCCGGCCGGAGCAGCCTTCCCACAGGGTGTCAGGGCCGCGCACCACCGCAACGAGAAGGAGCTCGATAAGAAATACATGTCCTTCCTTACGTCTCGGTATGCCTATTGCTATTGCGAAGGCATGCCGCGAGGCACGCAGCGTTTCATATCGCGCCAGAAAGGAGTGAGCGAACGGGAAGGACGAGGGAGATTTTCGCTCATCTAAGTCATTAGGCGAAATGAATACTGAAACTCTCTGCGCGATTGCTTAGGTTACACGAGAAAAACGCATCATAGCGACAACTACCGACAGGCAGAGAAGCTAAGACGTTTCGGATCTTCTTGACAAGCCCTAGAAACTGTGAACGTTCGTTCTCGGTCAAAACTGTTCACGGTGCCGTAGTCTGAAGCGTCCGCTCCCGCGGAACAACTTTCATGCCACTGCTTATCCTCGGAGTGAGAGGGTTTTCTCGGAACAAGCGACGCGCGTGGTCGGTGTCAAAGGCTGCAGAGGAGACGGGCGCGAGGTCCTTTTTGCTTTCGGCCTCCGGGATAGCGCATCGCGCCGTCCGTGCGCCTGCCCAAGCAGCGGGTCCGCGTGGTTTGATGCGGGATTTCGCGGGCGGCGCTCCGAGCGGGCCCGCTAAGGCAGGGCCCACTCGCCGCGATGCGCATGCGCGGAAGATGAGGCGCGCGCCCGCGCGCGTTGCGCTCGCTCACGACGCGGGCGAGGCGGCGGCACTTTTGGCGGCGCGCTCTCTCGCGGACATCCCGAGAGGGGAGCGTCCGTGGCGGTAGCAGATCGGGGGAAGAAGCAACACATTGCTGTTTACAAAAGAGCACGCCGCTAGTCTCCCCACTCCCTCTCCTGCAGTGCCCGCCGTCCCACACGTTCCCGTGTGCCTGAGCCAGCAGAAATAATCGCCCCTAAGCACGTCGACAAGCTGTTCTGCCACTTTTTTTTTTGGCGCAAGACATGGATGCAACGGCCTGATATGACGCGCCTTCGGCATGCCGTTTACTTTTTCGCTACTTGCCTTCTAGTTCCAGCCTTTGCGGTCTCGTGCTGTTTCTTTTTCTCTTTATACATATTTCTGTACTTGTTTTTCATAACCACAGAAAAGCAAGAAACAGAGGCGATGCTCGGTTGCGTGCTCAAATCGGAAACCAGCTAGCTGGAGGCGCCTGGTCCTACGCGTGTGGGCAAACGCACGTTTCTTTGTTTTTTTTTTTCGTTGGTTCACGCTTTTCGCGTTAGCGTGCAGCATTTCGCTACTTTTCTTTTTGTATGCGCCACAGCGTGGTGAGTCTAGCATTGCGGTCGGTCCGCTTTGGCGTTGTAGTATCGCTTACGCGTGTTGTGCTTGCGTAATGAACGCACCGGTGCTTTTAGCGAAGCCCACTCTCGTGGAGCTACCACTCAGAGTTACCCACGGGTTTTCAACGAAAATCATCCATGACGCGTGCGCGCAACGTTGGAAAATACAGGAAATGGGGAAGAAGAAAAAGGATTACACAAGTATTAGAAAAGTGTGTTTAGCATTTATATTTCTGCAGGAGACATCTTACGATTTCCATGACTAAATTTGAGGTTTTGTAAGATTTGTACCGATACGCTTAAAGCTAGCACTAATACAGCCGTAGAATGACTTCAGAAATATTCGAGTATTCGTACGCACGCGCTATTGTTACGTTGCTAGGCTGCTGATTTTAACAATATTTGTGTACATTGACCGGTAGCTGTTTATTTGTGCATGATCGATAGGGCATAGGAACATCGGGACTTCCCAGCGCTTTCTAATCATTTTGTAATAATGACACGTAGCTAGAGAGAGAAAGAGAATTCATTGACCAGGTTATTTAAGCTCGGAGGTGGCCCTCCACCTCATTTTGGCCTGACGTGGGCTAAGGCGGACAGCTTGTCCTTGGTATTTAGCCTTGTCAAAAGTGCCTCCCACTGGTAGTTTGTTGGCGATTTGATAGTCAGAGTCTACGTTTTCTTGTTGCATTGACTGACCATGTAGTAAAGTATGTTCGGGCAGTTGCGATATTTGCGTATGCTCCGTGATGCACCGAACGTCGTAGAGAACCATGGAAGTAACTGCCCAACTTGAAGTTGGCGCAGTGTGACGACCTCATTTTGTTCTAGCTTGATACGTAGTTTGAAAAATTCTCGCTCATGGCACGTATAATGTTTTGCAGTTTGAACGTTCTTTCTTTTTACCCTTTGGTGCTGGTGGAAGACTATGCTGGGGTGGGGTCGTTCGGTGTTTATGCTAAGCCAAGCCGTAGAACGCCAAGTGTTATTGCGTTTAAACTTGACATTTATAAGCGCCAATCGTGATTGACTGTTGTCGCTCCGGTTGTTTCGTTATCTCAATTGACGAAATTATGAATTTGATTTCAGTTGAGAAAATGATTCAATTCATTCTAAGACTTCCACGGGTCAACTGAGGAAATCACAGGCACTAGAAGGACGGCAGGAGCACAATGTTTCGCGAAAGAAACAAATTTGCCTGGCTGAAAAAAGTCGCAGAACCAATCGTGGTCTACCTCATCGACCAGAAAGCGATGATCACTGAAACACACACCTAAACCAAATGCGAGCCGTAAGGCCATCTTCTCAGTAGATAGAATGCTTCAGCGCCGCCACAACCTGAAAGCTTTATGCGCTTGATTGGGTTTTGCATATCCTCCAAGATTCGAGGCACCTCATTTGGTCTTACATTGCTTCCGTGATCGGCACACTGTTGACCAAGCTAAGATTCGCGTGGTGACGTGATCATGTGAGGTCACGTCGCATAATGGCGGTTCGTGTTGATTTAAATGGCCACACCTTCACGTTATGATGAGTTTTCCATCACTCATGTGAACGCCGACAGAGACGTCGACGTAGGACGCCTGTGAGTTTTTGGGTAGAAGGTTGAGCCGTTTGACGTTATACGAAACCGTAGTGTTAAGTGCCAAGCAGCTGCAACTTAATATTTATTAAGCGGTTCATAAAACGAAAATGGAGCTAATGTGTTTGCCTGATTGGCGACACAGCTAAGCTTTTTGTAGGGGATGGGGGAAGGGGATATATAGAATAGTGTAAAGGAAAAGAAGACGAAGCACTCGCCGCACATGAGTGTAGAAAGAGGAGGGAAGAGAAAGGAAAGACGGGGGAAATGTTCGAAGGAGTCCGAGGACGGGGCACCGATCGAAGAGAGCTACATGGCGCCAGAAGATCGTGGACGACGAGGTGATCGGCGAGAGCTACCCTGGCGTCAGAGATCATGGACGACACAACCGTTGAAGCTGAAAAACTCCAAGCGGGTCCTGATATTTGCCGGGAACACGTGGAACAGTGTTCCGATCATTCATGGGTGGCTTTTCATCCATCGTGTGGGTTCGATGCTTATTTTGTGTTTTTTAACACGAAAGTATTATACGCCGGGGTGTAGCACGGCTCTACTGATTAATTTTCGTCATGGATATGACGTTGTAGAATATATAGCAACATCTTACTAATAAAAAAATCACTGTATATCAATGGAGTGAATGTTGATGAGGGCGGCGAAGTGTATGTCTGTCTGGTTGTCTATCAAAACATTTCGAATGATGTGAGCGCCATCTAGTTAACAGTTCGCGTGCTAGGGGTGTCTGCAACAGATAATCCTACGCCTTAAGAAGCTTCACTTCTAAAAAAAATAACTAGAAGGAAAAGTTCCTTCTATGCATTGATGCATTGAGGCATCAAACCAGTGATCACGTGCTCTTCAGCGTGTAACGCTAACCACTACGCAACAGAGCGAACCTTGTCTAACTTGTTAACGCTGAGCTATATGTATAAACCCCGTACCGCTGGTGGTCCTCCGAGCTGACCTATTTCAGCGTGTTTTCGTTATCAGTAGCGAGGTGGCACGACGGGTGCTAGCTCTGAATGTTAGGGTCATGTAGGCTTCCTACTAAATGTCATCGTGCTGCGCCATCCCGCGAGTAGCTGTGCGCGCGTGGCTACACATGGCGTATAGTCCAAGAACGTACATAGATATTCTCCATCGAGGTGGTCCATTCGCGCATGCGCTTCTCTCAGAATTGGGGCGCTTTTACCTCTTTTAGGGGCAAAACTGCTTAAAGCGGCACCCGTTCGTCCCTCGTTGTAATAGTCGTAGTCGTAGTGTGTAACCAGTCTTACACTTTGACCTCTAAGGTGGTGCCTGTGGGAGATTTATTCTGTGCGTTGTTGAACAAAAAAAAAAAAATCGCAGCGTGCTGTTAACTGAAAGCCGAATTCAGCTCTTTTTCATTCTCCCTTAGCAGCCATTGGCATGTACATGGAGCATTACCTGACAAGAAAAGGTTGCTACGTTATACTCGCTGGGCGTAACCTCCTAGGTTTTAGAAAGGTTTAGCGACCGTTGGGCCGCAATACTATGACTACAGTGAACTAGTATATACCATCAACTCGAGGTGGTTAAAGGTAGGAAGTAGACACGAACCGCAAGCCATATGAAAGTGTGCGTGTGCCTCCTCTCGTTCAGTCCTTCGAATGTCCGCTGGATGGTGGTGCTTCTATATGAGGAATATATGATGAAAAGATGTGAGATGGTGGTACTTGGAGTGTTGAATAGGTGGACGAACGGACACACAGACAGATGCATGGACGGACGCACGGATGGTTGCACGGATGGATGGACGCACGGACGGACACACGAGCGAATGCATGGATGAAAGCAGGGACGGACGCACAGATGAACGTGCGGACGCACGAACAGACGCACGCACAGATGGGTGGATGGACGCACGGGCGGCCACACAGACGCACGCATGGACGGACGGAAGCAAGAACGAATGGACAGATGGATGCTTCGCACCACTCTCCATCATTCACTCCGTGGATATGCTGCCATTTTTTTCTTCCACCGCAAGTTTGATTGAAGTTGTTGTAGTCAAAGAGAGCACGAACGTCGCTCACCCACTGCCGTTGCCGCGGCCGCATTTACGAATGGACTGCGCTGCTCACACTCGGAGAAGTAAGAATTGTGACAGTGGTTCGTGCATTTCTTGCGTGCTTTTTGGTTGTGATGTGCACTGGCAGTTTAGACCTGTTTGCCCTTCTTCGCCTGACAATACAATTTGTTGCTGTAGCATTCAATCCTTCGCCCTTGTGGCGAAACAATGCACAGTGAACGCTCACCTACCTCGGCGAGCACACGTTTCACTTTCGTGTATTACCAGTTCCAAAAAAGAGAAATCATTTCCGTTTCTTTGTTTATTGAAACGGATACA